TCTGCCTTCAATTAGTGATTTGGGCTCAATACGCCCAATTGTCCAAGCCCACATATGGGCTGAACCCAATAATTCTCCCCCTCCAGCTCATATGGTGGGTTGTACTAAGCCCGCTCTTCGCCTACATGCTTCAAGCTTCTCCTTGGGCAAAGACTTTATCAACATATCTGATCCATTCTCATAGTATGCATTTTTTCCAACTGTAATTCTTTAATCTCAAGCACATCACGAATTTAGTGATATCTCACATCAATATGCTTAGATCTAGAATGGTATGTTGAATTCTTGGAGAGATGAATGATACTCTGACTGTCACAATAAACAATATATCCTTCCTGTTTCAAGTCCAATTTCTGTAGAAACTTTTTCATTCATAAAGCTTCCTTGCATGCTTCAGTAATTGCTATATATTCTGCTTCTGTGGTTGATAGAGCAACACACTTTTGTAACTTAGACTGCCAAGAGACTGCTCCTCCTGCAAATGTCATCAAGAATCCCGAAGTGGACTTCCTGGAATCAGTATCACCTGCCATGTCTGCATCTGTATAACCTTCTAACACAGGTACATCACTGCCAAAACATAAACGTAACCTCGAAGTACCTCTTAGATATCTTAATATCCATTTCACTACTGCCCAATGTTCCTTTCCAGGATTAGAAAGAAATTGGCTAACAACTCCAACTGCATGAGCTATATCTGGCCTAGTACAAACTATAGCATACATCAAATTGCCTACTGCAGATGGGTAAGGCACTTTGGACATTTCTTCTTTTTCTTTCTCACTTGTAGGACATTATTTCGAACTAAGCTTGAAATGACTTGCAAGTGGAGAATAAACTGCTTTGGCTTTACTCATGTTGAATCTTTCAAGAACCTTTTCAATGTAAGTCTTCTGAGATAGCCAAATCTTCATTTTCTTCCTATCACGAAGAATCTTCATGCCAAGTATTTGTTTCACCGATCCCAAGTCTTTCATGGCAAAAGACAGACTTAGCTCTCTTTTAAGCTTTCCAATTTTTCCAACTTTATGGCCAACAATCAACATATCATCAATATATAGCAGTAAAATAATAAAATCATCATCTGAAAATTTCTCCATAAACACACAATGATCATATGTGGTTCTATCATACCCTTGGCTCATCATAAAGGAATCAAACTTCTTGTACCACTGTCTAGGTACCTGTTTGAGTCCATATAAGCTTTTCCTAAGTTTACACACTAGATTTTCTTTTCCCTTGACTTTAAAACCTTCTGGTTGCTCCATGTAAATTTCTTCTTCTAAATCAACATGAAGAAATGCTATTTTTACATCAAGTTGCTCAACTTCTAAATTCAAGCGGGTAACCAAACCAAGAACAACTCGGATAGAGGACATTTTCACAACCAGAGAAAATATTTCTTCAAAGTCAATACCTTTCTTTTGACTAAATCCTTTCACAACTAGTCGTGCCTTGTATCTTTGTTGTGAGCTATTGTTTTCGGTCTTCAATTTATAAATCCACTTATTCTTGAGAGCTTTCTTCTCTTTAGGCAATTTTACCAAGTCATAGGTGTGGTTCTCAAGTAAGGATCTCATCTCTTCTTGCATGGCTTTAACCCACTCATTCTTATTCTCATATAGAATAGTTTCTTGGTAAGTTTCTGGCTTTCCCCCGTCAGTAAGCATAACATACTCATGTGGAGGATATCTGGTAGATGGTTGTCGCTCTCTAGTGGATCTTCTCAATGGAATCTCAACTGATGGTGGAGGTGCTTGTTCAGTTGGTTCAGCATCATCAACTATAGGTGTATCATCATTGGTATTCTCACCACAATCTTCTTGTTCATCTCCCCCATGATCATCATGAACTACAGGTGAATGAACTGGACCCAAACTCCAAGGAATATAAACAGAGATTTCTGGCTTCTCAATATTATCACCATCATCAAACAATTGGTCTTCAAGAAACACAACATCTCTGCTTCTAATAATCTTCTTGTTCACTGGATCCTATAATCTGTACCCAAACTATTCATGACCATATCCCAAGAAGATACATGCTTTTGCTTTACTATCAAGCTTGGACCTCTCATCTTTGGGAATATGAACAAATGCTTTACACCCAAAGACTCTTAAGTGATTATAAGATATATATTTTCCTCTCCATACTCTCTCTGGAACATCACCTTTCATAAGAATTGATGGAGAAAGATTTATCATATCAACTGTAGTTCTCATAGCCTCCCCCCAAAATGACTTTAGTAACTTGGCATAGGAAAGCATACACCTAATCCTTTCTTCAATGGTTCTGTTCATCCTTTCTACCACATCGTTCTGTTGAGGAGTTTTAGGAATTGTTTTCTCAAGCCTGATACCATGAAACCTACAATAATTCTCAAAAGGAACCTTGTACTCACCACCATTATCTGATCGAATACACTTTAGTTTTCTACCAGTTTCTCTTTCAACACTGACATGAAACTCCTTGAAAACATCAAGTACCTAGTCTTTAGATTTCAAAGCAAAAGCTCAAACTTTTCTAGAATGATCATCAATAAAAGTAACAAAATAAAGAGCACCTCCAAGAGTTCTAGTTTGCATAGTACAGACATCAGTATGAACTAAATCAATAACATCTGATCTTCTAGATGATGGATATGTCTGAAATGCAACTCTATGTGTTTTTCCAACTAAGCAATGTTCACAAGATTTAAGAGATGTACCTTGCAACTCTGGTAAGAACTGCTTTCTAGCAAGAGTTTGAAGTCCCTTCTCGCTGATATGTCTAAGCCTCTTATGCCAAAGATCTATACTTTCACCTTTTCGAATTGCATTAATCTCTCCGTTGTGTAGCTTAGCTTCCATGACATAAAAAGAGTTAAGTTTCTTTCCTCTTGCCATAATTAAAGAACCTTTAGTGAGTTTCCATTTGCTTTCACCAAAATAGTGTGCAAAGCCCTCATCATCAAGTCTACCTGTAGATATCAAGTTAAGACGAATATCTGGAACATGCCTTACATCTTTGAGTATTAATTGACTCCCAATACTGGTCTCCAAGCAAATATCTCCAATACCCACAATCTTAGATGTACCACTGTTTCCGATTATGATATTATCAAAATCACCAGCAATGTAAGATCTAAAGAAATCACCATGAGAAGTAACATGAAATGAAGCACCAGAGTCAATTACCTAATTACTGTCCTGAGCTACAAGACTAACACAACCTTCATCACAGACAATAGTGATATTACCTTCAGCAGCAACTATATTGGCCTCTTTCTCATTTTACTTTATTTCAATTTGTTCTCGCTTCTAAAACCTACACTCTTTCTTCATGTGATCTAACCTATTATAGCGAAAACATTTGATATCTCTTCTAGACTTGGATCTTCCTCTATAATCATGTGGATTTCTGCTAATGACTTCTTCCACGTCTTTCTTGTTTTTCAATAACAAATGCCCCAGAAGAAAATTCACCATATTCTTTCCTTCTGGCATTTTCATTTAGCAAACTATCTTTAATCATATATATAGTTAGAGTCCCTTCTAACGTGGAGTTACAAATTGTCACCACATACGTTTCCCAACTTTCTGGTAAAGAGCTGAGAAGTAATAATCATTGCATCTCATTATTTATATTCATTTTCATAGCAACCAACTTGTTTGCAAGACTCTGAAATAGGCTTATATGCTCAACAATGTTGCCGCCATCTTTATACTTCAAATTTACAAGCCTTCTGAGGAGAGAAATTCTATTTCCACTGTCTTTTTCGCAAAGAGGTTTTCTAACCTTTGCCAAACAACATCAGCTCTAGTTTAATCTGAAATATGCTCATGCAAGTTTATATCCATCCATCTTCTAATATAGGCAATGACTTTTCTATGTTGAACTTCTCATTCTTCATCGTCTATAGTAGAAGGTTTATCTTTAACCTTGATGGGCTTATACAAATCTTTGCAATAAAGCAAATCTTCCATCATACGCCTCCGAGTAGAATAATTTGATGAGTTCAATTTAATCATACATCTAACTGCTCCATTTCAATCATAGAAGAAAATACTAGCACCAAACAACCTGTTGCTCTGATACCACTTGTTGGGACAAAACCTATTAAAGCGGAATATTCTTTTCCCTCTTTGTGTATCAAAATGAGTTCCTCATCAAAATACCAACTTGATATCCAAATGTAAATATCAACCAGCACAGCATAAACAATAGAGAAAATAATCAATCACACAGTGAGATCAAATCTTTTAACGTGAAAAACCCAATATGGGCAAAACCACGGGACCATAGTCCACCTCAAACTTTCACTATCAATAGTAATGATAATAGGTTTACAATATATCTTCTCTAGAATAATCAGAGGTTCACAATAACATCAAGATCATAGATCTTGGCTCAAGAATAGCATATCTTCATTACATAGGATGAATCTCCACATAAGAGAATTCCAAATCTCACAAAGTGGATATAGTAAGAAAATACCTCAGAGAGGGTAAACTGTAGATCAACACCGTTAGGATTGTAGAGTTTGCTACAAGGATTCTTCACATAAAATTTGAGTCAAAATTGACAACGTTTGACTATCGATCGTCAAGTAGAAAACTTAGAAACCTTACTTTCTCTCTCCTTCTCTCTGTGCACGGCACGCTACTAATTCATATATTTCATAGTTATAAATAGCTATCAAGAGCTTACTATCTAAATGAACTATACATTATTCATACATTTCATAGTTATAAATAGCTATCTAGAGTTTACTATCTAAATGAACTATACAAGTACATACATTTCATAATTTCTGCTAAAATTTCTATCTTTCTATCCACTTCGTTTAATTCTTTACACTTTTGGATAACCTATAGGGAGAGCCATACTAGTTAGCAACAGCTAGCTTTACCTCATGGTATCTAAATCGAGCAAATGCAGGTAAACCAAGTTTTTAAGTGATTATCCACCAATACATGCATTGTTGTAGACAAGTGACGTTCTTTCAACTAAGAATCCCATAACAAAAAAATGAAGCATAATATGCACACTCGCATCATTTATGGCAATTTAATTACAAGTACCTAGTATAGTATAATACACTTGCAATGGATTATGAATTCTCGTGTTCCTACAAACATTAGAATCATTAATCCCAACAATTCTCGTGGGACAATCATTTTTCAAGCTTGTTTATTGTAGATGGAAAGAATATTTACACAGCCATTCTATGTGATCACTCAACGGTGGCCATCAAAAGAGTCTGCTTGAGGCCCTGGATGTATCTAGAAACACTGCAAATGAGAGGATCAAAGTCATATGATGTCGATAGTGGTATGTAGTACAAGATCAACCACTTTTAAATACTTCCAGCAAGCAAGGATGCAATATATGTACAGCAAGTCATTCCACATACAGAAAAAGGAAAAACCCAATACCAAAAATGTGCAACGTGGTCAGAAAGATAATAACGTATTCATACAGCAGAATTCATTTCAATAATGCAAGGAGTCCTTAAAGCAGAAGAAGATACAAAAAGAAAGGCAGCCTCACAAATTACACATCAAATATGCGCATGTTTATTTTTAACACACACACAAGCAGCAAGATCGCACTAGACAACCAGCTATAAAGCAACACATTCTACGAGCACAAAACAAAAACAAATCAGACGTGTGAATACAAAATTCTCTACTTTTGTGGTCTTCTAGTGTCCCTGAAGGTCGTCATTTTCCTTTAGAAAAAAAACACAAAGCATATACACACAACACATCCACGAGCATGTGTGCACATACAAAAGGGCTGAATTTGCCCATTCGAATATTTATTCAAGGATCCCAATAAAGAAAGAGATGCATATATTCATATGTACAAATACATATCTTTTTGAACAAGTCATGCAAACATCCCAAGCACAGGCACACAATAGTTGATGAGTGATGTATGCAAATGGTGTACTATTTATATAGTGAAGGTACACATACATAAATGCCAGTAGCCTCTAGACTCTTGCATCCACCCTTGCCGATTGCGTACACAGGATTATACCAGGTGTTTTAGTTAACATTTTTTTATGTATCAACTAATCTAATAACATTATCTCCTTAAACAAAAAAATAAATATGATATGATGATGACATAAGACTAGAACATTTTTGGTTCTATTACTTGTAAACTTATCATCCACTGCTTCACATTTCTCTCTTTAAACAAAATATAAAAATGATTTGATGACAGTAAAGAAGAATATTATCTTGTTCTGCATTTTTTTTTTTGTAAAGGATAAGTGACAGAGGTGGGATTCGAGCTCAAGACCTTGTAATAATCTGTCAAAAGTCTTTACTAGAGTATCTTCATATTTTAACAACATTATGATTTAACTGTCGGAGAACTCATGCTTGTAGCTGTAACACCTTTTTTTTGTCTACTAGTGAATCATGCAAATGTGATTCATGTATCCATATATGTCTAACACTGATAGAAACAGAGATAATACTTTGGGCACCATCTATCATTTCACAGGAACAATGCACGATTTCTGATTATAAATTCAAAGATATGTTCTGTTATCAAAAGAGCAGCAAAACTCTTGCTTTGTAATAGTTTTGCATGACATGATTTATTTAAATATCTAAATCTTGTGTCATTAGCCCCTATTTTCTTCTACTGGAGAGTTACATTACCAAAGTCACCAGAAAAATAGAGAATATGGACCAATGGACCAACAAGAAAAAAAATCACAGATTTGGATATTTCTTCACTAGTTATGTGCTTGAGAGAGATCAAGATTTTATTACATACTTTTTAGTTGGCAGTGCTCGTCGTACTCTTTGCTTTTTGATGGCAAACCATGGGGTTTTGGTACTGGAACAACTTTGTGAACTGTAATGTTTATAGAAAATGTATAAAATGGAGCAACTATACAAGAATGAAAACAATGACAGGGAAAAAAAGTGAAACACAAGAGGGATTGTGAGAAGGAACAGAGGAATGGAAACCTGGGATTCTTTCAACTCCAGCTCTTCCCACTCCAAAGAAGGAATAGTTCCCTCAACAATTCCAGCACCAGCAAAAACTAATATACTAACACCCTGAAATTGAAGCAAGTGAACAAATACTTAGATGAAAAGTTCTACCATTCCATAGTTGAAAGGAAAAAAGAATACCCAAACAAACAAGAGAATATACATGGTTTACTAAAACAGTTATGAATTAACAGTCCTCAGAGTCATGTGATACAATAATAAGATTAGAGTAGAAAGTCCTTGCAGTTTGAAAATTCGTGTCCATAACTAGATAGAAAATAAAACCCTGCAGTAGTCAATTATGTCAGCAGTGAATTCCTACACAATTCCTGCTTCGATCTATTACATTCACCAGAAAACTCAGGATGCGCCGTGCAGCAAATCAGAACTATTTTGAGAATCAAATATAACAAGAAAAAGAAAACATTGCAAGATATTCTTTAGATGTTGTCAATGGTCAGAAAATCAAGCATTGATTGTTGAAAATAGAAAAGCTAGCTTACATTTTTCACCAAAGCTGATCTGATCCCAACGGCAAATTCACTTTCTCGACCGCCAAACCAACCAACAGGGCCAGCATACATTCCTCGATCAAACATTTCTAGCAAAGTCAAACAAATTCTCATGATATAATAAAAAAGATTCACTCTTAAGTTCCAAGAGATTAGTTAAATCATATAACATCTTCAAATACCTCTTCATCTGACTCACACTTACAATTTTCTCCATTTATGTATCATAAATTGATATTTATTTTGTCTATGTACATCTGTTGGTAGCATGAATAAATAGCTATGTAATATAATGATCAACTTTTGCTATAATTTGTGTAGTTTTGTTACCTCCAGCTTATTGATAGCATAAAAAATTCTAAAAAAGGTTAAGTATCTTGTGTAGTTTTTCATTTATATTGAGATTGTAGGAGGTAAAGGTTATCAAAGATATAAATGTGATTGTGATATGTATAAACTCCAAATATTCATCCAGAGAATTGCAACAATATAGGACAGCCAGAAATTTGTTCATAACTTACAAGATTGATTGTCCAAGAGAACAAGCTTCTGAAACCTCAACTTAACTATATAAAATAGTACCTTACTATATATGATATAACTAAAACATTTCCAAAGGCATAGCTATAGAAACAAAACTAAAGGTGAGATACATGCCATTTTCTTTTATAAATCGACGAGCCTCCTCTGTAGGCAATCCACAAACAGCTGGACTTGGGTGGAGGGATGTCAGAATGTCGAACTGCAGAGAATTACAAAGATCAGCATTCAACAAGCTAGAGAGAATCTGGTTATACCACATACTCCATATGCAACAGAGTCACAATATCATCTAGGAGTCCTCAACAAGTGTGGCACATAATTGGGAAGGGAGGTATAAGGACTCGAGAAAACATATAATTTGTGTGAAGGATTCACCCAAGGTGCTTCCATCATAAAGTTAATGAATGAAAATCCATACCCATAAATAACAACCTAGAATGCCTAAAATATGAAACAAGGGATGTATAAGTAGCTGTGCATATCTTTAGATGTGCAAACACTCGTACAACAGGAATAACAGACCAATTAAAATTTTTGAGATCTACCTCACTGTCTTCATCTCTCAATCTGCCTGATAATTGGGCTGATAAATGCTGGATTCTAGGAAGTTTTCGAAGTGCTTTACTGGGCTCAATGTGAACCTCATCACAAATGATCTAATAGGAAAAGTACAAGAAACAGAAAAGACACAAGGAACATCAACCAGCAAGTTGTAAGAGATGTAAGAGGACTAACCAAAGGTGAAACTAGAAAGCCAAGATGCTAGCAGAAACTATTGAACTCAACTTGCCTGTAGTTTTCTTCTAATGCTCTCCCGTACTATAACAAACTCAATATTATCTTTAGGGCTGCAAGTTAACAAAAGATCACTGTCTTATCTGCCCGTATTTAATTTTCTTGTACAGAAGAAACAACTCAAACCAGAAATTGGCAAGTTAAAGTGCATAGATTATGTAAATCATTAACAGGTTAACTTAGCATCAAAATGTAGGAAAAATGGTACTCCTTTCTGTAAAAAAGTACTCATAGAAGTTAAAGAACTAGATTTGCATTGGTACACCACAAAATAGTTGGTATATCATTGACCCTAGCTAACAGCTGGATATGATCACATCTCACATATATATTATTTGACACAATCAATTCTTTAAGAATATTTAAGACAGAGATATAATGTGGGGAAATTAGAAGCAAAAATCAACCAAAAAAGATTGCAAAAATACCATGTTTAGACCCTAGAGAAAGGAAAGAAACAAACATCAGATTACTATTTGAAGTATATTCTCCATTAAAGGAAAATCTCTACTAGGATTACCTTTAACCAAACTTCAAAATTATTATTTCTCCCCCAAAATATGCTCCACAAAATAGATATGGTTTAAAAAAGATTTTAATGCCAATAAATAATTCTAAGAGGTGGTGTGAAACTGGACCAAAAAACAGATCCAGTTAATTAATATATACATATAATCAAGTTGGATATTGTTGTCTGTCATTGTACCATCCACATCCATATCCACAATGTAATATAGTCAAAACTTGATCGTCACTTCGACTTACCGAAATCGACCCGGCCTATCATGTTTTTTGAGTCCTATAATGTTCAGATGAGGAAAGGTTATTAAGGATTCAGAACTTGAAACAATAATTTATATTTTTTTATTTTCACACAAAATATTAAATTAAATCAGTCAATTTTATTTAATTGGGCAAGCTCAGAATTGAGCTAAACATCAGCCCAATTAATCAAATCAAAAATAAAATTGATCAAAAATTTAATTTTTCTCAAATTTGTTCAAAACTAAATCCAATCAATAGTAAAAAATATAGTCATGATCAAATTCAATTAAAATAAATCATATTGATCAATTTTATAATTGAGGATATAAATCAGAAATTCTCAAATTCATAAGGACAAAAATATAATTTTGCCAAAAGGATATGAGATGGAATTATGACATTTATGAAGGGCAGAACTGTCAAAATACTAAAAGATAGTAATAAAATACATAAGGGCAAAACTGTAATTTGACTTAAAGCCATAATCTCGAAAGGAGGGAAAAATTATAATTTGATAAAAATCCTAATCCTCCGTCGAGGCAACGACTGTCGCTTGAGCAGATAGACACTTCATGCTTTTGTATCCTTTGCATCCTGAATGGATACATCACATACAAAAGAGGTGCTTTGGGATGCATCGAGTGCATAAGATATTTTGGATGTCTTTATGTCTTGGGCAAATACATCATGCACTTGGGATACATTTGGCACTTCGGGTGCTTTTTTTGTCTCGAGCAAATGCATTGCCCGAAAAAGAGACACTTTAGGCTAGATGATCATGTCATGTTCTTTGGATTCCATTTTATCTTAGGCAAATGCATCGTGCACAAACAAAGCACCCTTATATCATATCAGGTGCTCATGGATATCGAAGAACATCATAATAAGTCATGATAACCGTATGCTTTTGATGAAAGCATGGATCGTCATGGACGAGTGTGAACTGTACTTGCCAAGTCTTGTTGAACCTCATGATATAGTCGGCTAGAGATTCATTCTCGCCTTATCGATCAAGGTGGGACTTATGTCACTAGTGGGTTACACCTCAGATTGGTGGTATGGTGGGACAAGGAGATACTGTAGGAAGAGGGGAAGGAGAGGAGAATAGGGGAGGAGAGAAGAGATGGGAGAAGATGGAAGGAGAAGAAAGGCAAGGAGATGAGAAGAGAGGGTAGGAGAGGTGAGGAGAGTCTACCTTTGGGCTGCGAGTAGGAAGTGACAACTTATATGGTCCGTAGATCATGATATAGTTGCTTAATGTCTAATCTCATGTGATGGTTCAATCATTATGATAAGCCTCTACAATTATAAATTGGAAACAAATCCTAAGCTAAAAGTTTAGTCTCTTACCAAACTCCTATTACGCATGTAAACAATATAAGAGCTTGTCTTTGGCATATATATAACTTCATAGAAAATTGGTTATTTTGAATGGCCATGATGAATTCCCATGATTAAAACTGAATGGTTGTTGTTTACTCATATTGATTACATAAATTTTCATGCATTTCCAAACATGAAAAAAAAAAAAGTAAATGGTGATACAGAAAGACATTAGAAATGCTAATTGTGAAGCAACAAAGAGGTGAGGTGAACTACATGATTACAATTAAGAGGTTATAAAATGGTTTTGCAGGAAGAAAAATGGAATTGCAGCCTTCCTTATACACGTAAACATGAAAATGTAAATCTTAATTTAATGGAAGAAAGACATTTTTTTGATAGAAGAAATAGAAACAGAAAATAGCAACCTGAATAGTAGATCTTGACCAATCTGCAGATCTTCAGCCTTAGTTACACCCCTAGCACGTGTTCCAGCTAAAGCCTCGCTTGTAACATGGAAGCATTTCCGATGAAATAACTGCTCTGGCTATTCAGAATGGTTCATGTGGAATATCTTTAGTATCACAACATTCTTCTTAGTATACCAAGAAATTTCATTAACAGCAGGGATGAAATTAAGAACCTAAAAACTGAAGTACAAAATAATTGGGATGACAAGAATGACAGACTGCCAACAAGATATCAATAAATTATATTCAGATTTGAGAAAACCAAACACTATTCTGTTAGGAACCCTTAAAATTTTGAGTTTCTGAGTCCTAAACTGATGTAATATTCTTTTGAGTTTTCTAGTTCCAATAGGAGTCGGCTAGGCCTTCTAGTCGGCTAGGGGTTTTATTTATGATTTACTATTTTGATTAGGAGTCCAAGTCTTAATGGATTTAGGAGTGGAACTTAATAAATAGGGATGTATCTTTTTCTTTTCTTCATCAAGAAAATAACATTTCAACCTTTTGGCAAACCCTAGAAGGCCGATCCCCTCGAAGTGATCTTATCCCTTTTTTCCTCTTCTCCTTCTATGATAAAACTTTAGGGGTCTTATCATCTGGTATCAGAGCAGCGATCCTCGGCATTCCCGCTGAACTCCCCATATCCCATCGTCCATCGCCATCTCTCTCCTCAGCTGCGCCCCCTTGGAGACGGCACTGCCAGCGTCTTCTTCCAGCCGCACGCCTCCAGCCTGCTGATCGGCAGTTCCCACACCAATCGCTCAGCGTCCCGTTGCTAACCAGCCACAGCGTTCTCGCTGCAACTTCCCACATCCCATCATCCGTCGCCATCTCTCTCCTCAGCCATGCCCCAACCGGAGATGGCACTCCTAGCGTCTCCTTCCAGTCGCATGCCTTCCAGCCTGCTGATTGGCAGTTCCCACACCGATCGCTCAGCGCCCCGCTGCTAACCAGCCACGCAATCGCCGCGCTTCCCAATCGAGCCCTTCTTCTTCCCTCCCTTCGTCACTGCCGCTGCGTTTTCCCCACGACTCATCGCGGTCTCCTCTGCTCACGCTGCCTCCCAGCCTTCAACAGCAGCGATCCCTCCACCCAGCGACCGCAGCGAGCTTCGCTGCCTCCCAGCCCTCGGCAGCAGCGACCCTCCAAGCAACGACCGCGGTGAGCCCTCGGCGACGCTGCCTCCCAGCCCTCAGTAGCAGCAACCCTCCACGCAGCGACCGTGGCGAGCCCCCGGTGACGCTGTTCCTAGCCGTGCCACCATCACTGCCTCCTAGCCTCTTGGTGTCCAAGGCTTCATCGGCATCCTCGCAGTCACCCTTCACGCCCACAGCGCTACCACCGACCAACGTCACAACAGCTGCATTGAATAGGACAATGCTGATGCCCTTAACCCGACACCAGAAACAGAAGTTGAGAATTACAGATCTGCAGTCCTTTGCAATGACTACTGATAATTCAATAAAAGTCCAACTGAAGCCTTGGAAGCCAGAATTGAGAACCGACTGCAGGAAACCCTTAATGATTTCAAAAGGAGCATATCGGAGAACTTCATCAAGTTTCAACAAGATGAAAGCTCAAGTCCGACATTGAACCAATCTGGAGACACAGGAAAAAGGCACAAAGAACATGACATAAGCTACCCACGCATGAAGGTGGAAGTTCCAATATGGGAAGATGGTGATCCGACCAATTGGATCTTAGGGTAGAAATTTTTTTTCGTTTTCATAGAACTCCAGAAGAATCTGAGGTGGAAATAGCTTCAATCCAACTAGATGGAGATGCAATCTAATGGTATGATTGGTACGAAACCTATCACGGGGTCTCCTCGTGGGAGCAATTCAAGAGAGGACTTCTTGTTCGCTTTGGATCATCTGAGTACGAGAATGTTGATGGGCAACTAGCCAAAATTCGTCAGAGTCCTATAGTGCTAGAATATCAGAGCGGATTTGAACGATTGTCAAATCAAGCTAGAGACTAGTCCGAACAGCTGCGATCTCATTTGCACATTTGCATGAGGAAAAAATTAACATAGAGAATCGCCATAAAAGAAATGACAACAAACAGATGATCAGCAAGTCGCCCACCCCATCTATTCTTAGCCGAAACCCTAACATCCGAAGACTAACCCGAGAAAAACTCAAGGAAAGAACAGCGAAAGGTTTGCGATGGCATTGTGATGAAAAGTAGAGTAAGGAGTACCAATGCAAACAAGGGAAGCTTCTGATGATTGAACCGATCGAGGAGGAACCGGAAGCTGACAATGTGGACTCCGATCATGAAGGTATGGATACTGATAATGATGTTATACCTATCACACATACAGTGCATGCATTGGCCGACTACTCTAACCCGCAAATTATAAAAGTTGGAGGAACTTCGAAACATTAGCCTGTTACTATTTCGATTGATACTGGTAGAACTAACAATTTTATGGACAGTAAGGTTGTTGCACGATTGGCCTACCACATTGAAGACTGTGACAAATTTGAAATAAAGGTCATTGATGGACGGATTCTAACTTGTGATAGCAAGTGTTCAAAGATAAAATTGATTATGCAGGGCCAAGAATTGCTTGTGGATTTCTTTTTGCTACCCTTGGAAGATTTCAAAGTGGTGCTTAGAATTAAATAACTATCAACCTTAGGTGATGTTTTCTGAAATTTTTCTAAACTAATCATGAAGTTTTTTATTAACGGAAAGTAGGTGATCCTAAAGGGAAGACGTGGAAGTAAGGTCACAACCATCACTAGCCATCGAATGGAGAGGGTTCTTCGGAAGACTGCAATGACTACTACATCGGAAGGCCGACCCATTGCTTATACTATCATGAAGTGTAGACCCTACTTAATTGATCAACAGGTTGTGATGCACCACAGATATCCTGTGACTGAAGTATTAGTGCAATGGGCCAACTTACTAATTGAAGATGCCACTTGTTAGTCCTACAAGATGCTAAATGAGAAGTTCCCACTACTCGATGCTGCTCAACCTTGAGGACAAGGCTGATTTGAAGGGGTGAGGAATGTTAAGAACTCTTAAATTTCTGAGTTTTTGAGTCCTAAACTGATGTAATGTTCTCTTGAGTTTTCTAGTTCCAGTAGAAGTCAGCTAGACCTTCTAGTCGGTTAGGGTTCTTATTTGAGATTTATTATTTTGATTAGGAGTCCAAGTCTTAATGGACTCGGGAGTAGAACTCTATAAATAGGGATGTATCTACTTCTTTTCTTCATCAAGAAAATAACATTTCAACTTTTGTCAAACCCTAGGAGGCCGATCCCCTCAAAGTGATCAAGGAGGTCAATCCCCTCGAAGTGATCTTATCCCTTTCTTCCTCTTCTCCTTCTATGACAAAACCATAAAGACCTTATCATATTCACAATAAGCACTATGCAATTATACATTCGGACAGCAAGCATTTTTTTTATCTCATTTACCTAGCTTTCTTTAAACATTTTCTTATGCTTCTTCCAACAACTTTATAGGTTTTGAAAAAAAAAATTAGAAGTATATGATGATCAGATGATGTATTGTAGAAAACAATTTGCGGCTAACAAAATTATGCAGAAAGAAATTTGGACAGTCTGTCAGAATTTCTTAATGTAAAATTGATTATTTGAATATCCTGACAGAGCTTATAGGCTAAAATTCTGAAGGAGGACTAAGGAATATGATTATAAAAGCCACTAATCTTTGGCATCAATAAAGAGCCCATATATAAAGTCAGATGTTCCAAACAGTTCTTCAAACTTGAGTACATTGAGAATGTCTTCACTCTTCAGTGACTAAGATGCAATGCAATAACCTCAAATTGTACAAGTATTGTTGTGAGTTAAGCAATAAAAGGATAAATAGAAGTCGGTCTACTTAACATACTGTATTTCCAATAAATGCTGGTGCACCAGGTGGCTGTATATAGAATTGGTATGCGTTTTGGCTTTCAGCCTGTCAAGGACAAAAGTGGAAGCAGTTGAATTTAGCCAGTAACCAATTAGTATATAATTAAGATGTAAGAGTTTGAGCAACAGCAAGAACATACCTTTAAACTAGCTAATAATACTAAAGGATCCATCGTAGTATCGATAATATATTTACTACACCGTGCAAGTACGACCTAAGAAAATTCAAACATGTCACTGAAGGAAATACAAACATATTGCCAGAACAGGATTAAAGGCTTGGATAAACAAGTAGTGCAGCTAGGGAAAATATGAATTTGACCTGGCAGTAAAGAAAACACATGATATGAGTCCAAGAAACTACTACTGAAGTGAATGTGCTGGTTAAATTTGAGGACAGATTGTATGATCAACATTAAAGAGTAACATCTTGTAAAAATTATTAATAATGAGTAAATAATAACTAGTCAAGATGTTATTTTCACAAATAAACTAGTTGTACCTTCACCAACTCCGATTCTCTTCCATTTATTATCTCTAGAGCTCTTTTAACAGATATATCCCAAGACCCTTTGGATGGAAAATGCTGAAAACTGATGATGGCTGTTTTTGGATCTAACTTCCTCAATCTACCAAAGCAAGAGGAGATCTGCATAACTACCAGTACGTTAACATTTTGGCTAGGTTATTTATCACTATTCATGCTGCATTACAGACCTGTTGCAGTGTAGCTTTAAGCTCATCCATTGCTTTTTGCCACGTCCAGAGAAGATTGTTATCCCATGCGATAGTCAAAGCGAGCATTGAACTTTCTTGAAGCTGATCAAACTCAACCTGTCATTGAAATACTTCAGTGGCATCCGGTTAAGAACCGAAAACTAGTTGTTGCATTCAAAATTCTAAATACAGTACATAGAGACAAAGAACATTAGTCAATTGCAAGTAAACAAGTGCAGGGTAACGAGAGGAACTTTTGTACCTGTGGAACAATGAAGTAAAAAGAACCAAAATCCTCCCATTCGGGGGCAACAACAGTCCTTGCATCAAAACGCATGGCACCATACGCACGAATAAGATGGCAGTCCTTGCATAGAAATCTTGATAGGACAAGACAAGGGATAGATTGGTTAACTATTGGCAATCGAGGCAGTGAGGGTAATTCTAATAGAAGAAACAAAAAGAAAACGTAGCAGGCCAGGGCACCAGTCGCTAATATTTATTCCTTCAAAGTTGTTTGGCTTAATTAGGTAGGATTAGTTTATCAAGTAAAAACAAAGAGAAGTGCCCGGTGATGAAGAAAGAAGAAGGTTGAATTTGACAGATGGCGGACAACGAAGGATCAAACCCTCGGAACAGTGGATCAAGAAGGGGATGAGCCAAGAATGAATTAGTGAATCAAATGTACCTTTTAATGGATTGCCAGTCTTGCAAGGCAAAAGGACAGGACCCTTGGAAGAAGACTGCGGACCCAACGCCGGCAACGCTGACCAATTCCTGCTCATCACCATCAGCCTTGGCGGTACTCGCAAGCCCTCCTCCGTTGCCGACTAACGAGAGGCTTGTCAAATCTAGACTCTGCCCTCTACTGGAGAAGAAACAGCGAGGCAGGACCTGATGTTGCGATTGCGCCTGCAGCCACTCCAGCGCGTCCGCCCGCTGCCGTATCGGCACCTGCGCGGTGTGGGATTCTGTTTAAAAGACATATATCATATATTCGCGTACATATTTATCTATTCGCAGTCGCTACCAGTTTTTTTCTTGGTCAAAGAATGGACGGCTGTTATAGAGCAAATCGGTCTACCAGCCAATCAGAATCGTCTAAAGCTGATAAGGCGGCGGATTGATTACCTGGAGACGGATGATGCCGGAGTCGGACTGCGGCGGGTTGGCCTCCAACACCGAGACTGCCAGCTTTAGCTGCGGCACCGCCAGCTCCGGGGCCGACACTGAGGCCAGTGTCCTTGTCTCGCAGATGCCCACCGCCTTGTCGGAGCCGCCAGCCCCACCACACCCGTTCATGGACAGCCAACAACTCCGATACCTCTGTCAAGCAGGACCTCTAACATTACTTGTGCACTCCTAAAGTAGAGGGATAAGGGCAGAAAAGAAAAAAAAAAAAAGAGGAGAAACTCACATGATGTGCGGAGGAAGTGGTGGCGTTTGGAATCATTAGACGACCAGAGGAGCGAGCCAGCGCTGCGGCCATGGTAGAGAAAGAGTAGTAAAGAACAGGAGTTGAAAGAGAAGGATGGAGAAGGCAGCGGCAGGGGTGCGCTCAGATCAATCTGTCACTGGACAATTAGTACGAGTTCACCAGGGAAGGGATAGGACATGGAGATAAGGAACCGATAGTCGTTGGATGCTATGACCCGTTTCGGCAAAGCGACGACCCCTTCAGTTGATTCCCTCGTTGTAAGGATGTGGCGATGAGGATCCCCTCCATCTCATTTCCACTGGCTTTATTCACACGTACCTGTCTCTCTCACGAGAGATCATTTTATACATTTTGACCCGAGAGAGCGAGAGAGAGAGAGAGAGAGAGAGAGAGAGAGATCATTTTTATGCAATTGAGCCCATTAAAAGAAAAGATTTTCTTCGTTTCTCATACAAATTATTTGGTTGTGCTCAGATTTCCTAGTAATCAAGAGAAGTAGACGCTATTTTATGACCCAATGCATGGAAATTCGAGGAAGCTACACTTCCCCAAAAGGACAGTGATGGGACTCTGCTCACAACCCGTTTATACATCTAGGAAGAAAATGGTAATATGCAGGGCAATATCTGGTTTCAATCGCTGGATAAGAATTATTCTCACAGACTAGTATCAAAACAAGCAGGGAGCCAAAAACCCCATGCCAAACGTTAAACAACTATAAGCGTGAAAAAAACTAAAAATGATGCTGCCACCAATCGGGCCATAGTTCCTTTCTCAGCTTATTCCATTCCATTCAATTTTGAAACGGGAGTACACTGCAAACAATACCCATGAACTTTTCACCGTGGCTTAAGCACCAAGGACAAGCCTATTTTTGACCTCTTCTCAATGGCCCTGGTGTCAACCTCTGCTGAGATGGTGAAAAATGATTTTGACTTCCACTCTTGCTGGACGAGTGCACTAGCCTTGCCATAATTGTTAAAGCGTGCCTCTATTGTTGTGTTGAGGGTCGAGTGTATGCTGAGTTCCAAAGTCGAGTGTGTTCTCGTTGCTAGAGAAGCTATGGGTCAGCTCTGCACCAACTGCTGTGCTTGACAAAGAACATAATGGTGATTGAAAATAACTTATATCCAGCAATACACAAGGATTTAATGGTGGTTGTTACTCTTATGTGCTCCAGACAATCACATCCTTTAAAAACAGGAGCAGCTGGATGAGTGTCAAATGCCATGAAAACACGAACAAACAAAAAAATTAGTGAAGCTGACATGAAAACCACAAAACTAGACTGTTCTATATTAGCAGACAATATATCGAATGGGGAAAGAATATTACTACTGGAAGGTCTGACCTCTGCAAAACAAAAAAGGAAGGAGATACTTTGTCCTGTCACCACTAAATGAAAGGCATGCTAACTTCACCACATGCCCAAAAATCTGTCCCATGACTGCTAGAGTTACATTGTATAGTAAAATACTATAGCGAACTCCTTAAGAGACTATGACTATAAAGTGTGCGACATAAGACCAGTTCATGACAAGCAAATATATTCTTTTATTTAAGAATAGAGTAAGCAAAAGAGAGAATAGAAATAGATAATATAACAAAGAATAACTGTTAGACTCAGCTAATTGTGCAACTGCCAAGGATGAAAATCTCACCTTCTCACATATTATATATATGACTGATGGAGATTCACCATTGGAATGTCCTCTTACAACTCACACGTTGTCAACTCACGCTTTGTGGAAAAAAAAAAAAATCTTTCATTCATTAATTCTCTAATTTTCAATTACGATTCAAATTTTCCTTTTTATAGACCACAATAATAATATTCCAAAAAAGATATGTTTTCAAAAATGAAGAAGAATACAATAATATCCCAAAAATCAAGTCATATCAATAATCAAACATTTGCATCCTTTAAAAAGGTATGTTTTCATATTTTGACAGATAATATTCCTTGATAAAATATTTGATTTATGAACATATTCTTTTTTGTAGAGGCTTCAAGTTATCTTTCCATTGCTAACTGTACTCTCACATGTCGGACTATTATTTGGGAAGAATATTTTCCCTATCACATGTTATTGTAAACGTGAAATTTATTAGTGTTGAATATTTTTTTAAGAAAATATTTTTAATATGCTATCATGGTTTAAATGAGATATATATGAGAAGTAATTAGGGTGAATCAGATTAAAAAAAATCAGATTACATATATTAGAATTATATAAAAAATTAATTATAAAATTTTATAGATTATTTATAATATTATTAACAACAATAACAATAACAATAACAATAACAATAATACTTATCACATAGAGTTGGGATTCTCCCAAATCAAGACTATGTATATGCCATGCCCATTGAGATCACATACAAATCGCCATAACACCCGTGCCTTACGTCGGGACACAAAAGGTTAAATCAGGCCTCAATTTGTGTAAGAAATTCCTATTTATTAAATATTTAAGGGAAAAAAAAGACAGAAAACCTTTGATGGAGATCGGAATCATTTGGGTCTATCCACACGTGGATTCTTTTGTCTTCACCGAGCCGAGTCATGTTACTGGGTCCACGATGGTAGTCACCTATGAGTCATCTTCCCCTTCACACCCGTGCAAGAGAAAACACGGCCATTGCCACGGCTTGCTGAGTTGTTCCGACCCAAATTATGGGCCTTTAGAGAGAGAGAGAGAGAGAGAGAGAGAGAGTCTCAATTAAATCTAATGATCTCCTAACGAGAGAGACATGACAAGTGTTCTCCTCAATCCTCGACTCTCAAGTCTGAGACAATTGAAACTTTTCAGTCATTCAAATTAGAAGTCATAATTTGGTTATTGCAATTCTCCTTCCGCTGCACACCACCCTCTCTCATCACAGTATAAAGCCACCCCCCACAGGCCTTCCCGAAATCCTCCCACCTCTCTCCATGGCCTCGTTCTGCAAGCCAATCACACTTGCGCTCGTCCTCTCTCTCGTCCTCACACCCCCTCTGCACGCCAGGAAGCTGCTCTGCTTGGGGAAGAACGACAAGGTTGGACCCCTGGAAGCTGATGATGATTCACTGCAAAGTACTGTTTCCCCAAAGAGATGCCCGCCGCCGTCTTCTCCGAGCAACGGTGATCACGGCACAAGCGAGAACAATGTCGAGAGGATTTTGGGATCCGTCCCTAGCCCTGGCATCGGCCATTAGCTTCGTTGATCTCCTCCTATCTTTCTTTCGTCTCACTCGGACTGAGTTCTACTATACCTCATTCCAAAATTTTGTAGGGTAGCCTCACACGTACCGTACTACGTTGTTGTGATTCCAATTTGGTTACTACGTTGCTGTGATTCCAATTTAGTTATTCATTGGTGTGGCCTGATTGAATGATGCAAGCATGCTTAGAGATGCGATGAGATGCAGTGTCTAGATCAGCAATCAACTTCTTGTGTTTTCTCTTGGCTCCCTCACATACATATAATATATGACTTGGAGATCACAGTTGTGACTATAACACCTCGATTATTTTCTGTATGCATGACATTAGAGTTGGTGACTGTCTGCTTCCTTCTCAAAAGATCTTCGAGTTGAGTTTCCAACGTGTGGTTTGGTAATAAGTAGATATGGATGAAGACTGTCCCAAATGATTGGATAGAAGTGGGTTAGATTAATGAATGATCACAGATGCTAAGATTTTGCCAAGTCCAAACAGATGATGCCAATTAACCTGAGCTTTCGTGTGAAGCTTGATGTGAGCTATATGCTAGAATCCAATTTAGAGACTATGGTTGCTGTCTAGAGCCCAATCCTATGACTTGTGGAGGATTAAGAGAATGCACTGAAATTTTATTTTGGTAGATAACATTTACATGAAAACATAACGAGGAAAAGTAATAACTTCACTCTAAAAGCACGTTGCTGACCTCGGAATAGAGAATGCCCCATCGGGAAGAACACTAGAAACACGTACGCGAACACACGACACACCAAAACTGCGATCTAATGCACCGACGAGAACGCTTCTGAAAGCCATGTCGGCTGGGAATTCAATGGAGAATGCTATGCAACGCAGCGATGGGGATGCCTGAGGACAAGGCCATGTGGTGCAGGAACTCCATGGCAACACTGTCGCAGAGCTGACCCCCACGCACGACTTTTTGGATTCCGCACGGCAGCAGGGCGAAGTGAGGACCAACTTCGGCGGCATTGTTGTCGGAGAATGGAGGGACAACAGTTAACTCGGGTGGAGGACAAGGATTCGTCTCGTGGCCGTGGAAGTCCCAAGAGATGCCGAAAGTTTGTGGTGAAGCTGATGCTTCTTCTACATCCTGCGTCAGCCGGCACGATTAGATGGGTATGATGCTTCCTAGGATCAGAGTACCTGCAGAAAGTGATGGAGATGAGACTATGTTCGCAAAGAACTATCTTTTAAGAGCAAGAAAGTCAAACGCTTAGACTCTGCAGTTCAGCATTCCACGCGCATAAAATTGGTGAATGATACAGTCTACGCAAGTCTAACTGAGACTCCAAAAATCCATGCATCAAATCACCACAATAATCCAATACATAACAGTGAAAGAAAAATCTTCCGATTTGTTGAAATAGAATAATCATAATTTTTTTTCCTTTGTCATACTTACAGAGAAAGTGAGTTCCACAACATTCTGGCAGGTAAGGCCAGCAGATGTCAACCTACCGATGATCATAGAACATCGACAAGAAAAAAATGCCAGCCTTGACATATATGATCTATTACGGCAATGATATTACTTATCAGGTGAAGATGCCGAGTCAACCAACTATTCGATTCTGGTTAATGCTAACCCAGCAATCCTACTTCAGTCTCATTCAGAGTGGAAGCTTCCGACTAGGCAAACAGAGACAGAACCATCACATGATTACCATGTCACGGAGTGTCTGAGCAGCAAGGAAAATGACAAGTAATACACAGAGAACTGTTGTGGTGTGAGGAAAATGACACATAATGGGGATCACAGAGAACTATTTACACAACGCTTTCTAGGTTTTCTTGGAGCAACAATCTTGGTGCATTCATTATCAGGACTAATGGCATGTGGTGTTGCTCCCAGTGGCTGCACTTTCAAACTCCTTGGATTTCTAGCTTTGCCAAATTGTCCAGGAAGAGAGTGAACTACCTCTTGAGAACTTTTAGAAGAGATGTCCCTTTTTGCATCTTCATGTTTGGGTTTTAGCCGCAAAGTATGGCACGGATTTTGGCATGACTGCCCTAGGCTAGATTGGTTTATCTCCTCCTCAACTGACCCTTGTCTGATTGGCGTTGATCGACGTGAATGATTGAAGTTGCAACTATCTTGATTACTTTTCCTCACTATGGCAGCAGTGGGAACCTCCTATCCCAAAAAAAAAAAAACAATTCTCAGTGTGTTAGACATCCGGAACCAGTCAGCTGAACAACAATACTATCACAAGTAGACTTATCATAATGCTAATAAGATCAAGAATATCTTTCTAAGACCAAAATGGATTAAGCACTTTCGGCCATATTAGGCTTCAGAGAATAAGACTGAGATTAATCACATATATTGAAAGCAAGTGCTATCTGAATAATTTTCAGTTGAAAACTCTGCTTGTCCTTGGTTTATTATTTACAAATGCCTTTATGGACTGCTGAATTCTTTCACCTTAGATATTGGGTGGGTAAGAGAAAAACCATCATCATATAAAGTTCAATGCATAACAAACATCAATGGAAAGTCCATTTCAATTCCTATTACACCCCCAAAGGAAAAAAAAAACACCCTTCAGATTGTCCCTAAAAGACCTACTGAATGAACTTTATGCCTGAAATCCTATGTTAAGTAGACAGCCTCATCTGTCTTTCTCCAGTTCCTAATACAGCAACACTCTGCACTGGATCCTTTTCAACCATTGAGATCTTTTTGATAAAATGTCACTGTTCAACTAAATATTATCTAATATTTCTTCAATGTTTTTAAATAGAGATTCTTAGGTCCTCTTCCTCTCCTTGCAACATAATCTTATTGACTCAACTCATTTAGTCAGAGTATTTGTAGGTTTCCATTAAACGTATTGATATCATCTTATCAATATCATCAACAAGCAAAATGCACTAAGTCCATCTTTTGTGACAATGATATGTTTCACATCAGAAATCTGATACTGAAATTCTCAGGCATACACAGGAAATGTTACCTTAATTAGAGCTTCTGTTGATTGTCCATATTCTGATTCATCATCTTCCGAGTCATCAATCTCCTCACATTCAAACTCCACATTTGCACTTTCGTCATCAGAGTCACTCAATTCTTCTTGTTCCATTATGATATCTAGATCAGATTCATCATAATCTTTTGTGCACTGGCTTAGACAATCATTGGGCATCTGCACAACTTGCAAGGAATTGACATCCTTTTCACAGCATCCTCTTGTACGTGAAGCTGCAGATTCAGAACAATTTGCATTATGTTGAAATGACATATCAGCATCTATGCCTTTATCCATGGTTGGCTGAAACCTTGGACTGCCCGACTTGTTGAACTGATGCATACTTGAATCTCCAGCTTGTCTTGTCTTTTCATTTTCTTTCACCGAATACAAGTGTATGTCCAAATCAAGTTCATTTTCCTTCTCATGATGGCAAAGGGGTGCTCCACCAGCTGGAATTTGGCTATTACCAACCAGATTTTCTCTTGAGACTGGATTAGAATCACAGGACAACTTATTATGATGACTTGATGCTGCAAAAACACCAGGATCAACTGAAGACACCATACCAAGATCAGCAGTTGCATTGTTGGTTCTTCGCAGAAGTGGATGGAAGTCAACTGAAAACAAATCTAATGGTGCATCTATTGAATTTCGACTTCCACTGATCCTGTCTTTCATAGTAAAACAATGTTGAGATTTGGAAAAAATGGAATCTTTTTGAAGTTGAGCCCCCAGGTGACAAGTACCAGAAGCAGCAGGATGTGTGTTCATAGAATAATATGATGAAAGTTGATCTTCAGAGGCATGGAACAGCAATGGGTGCATCTGGAGATCTGATTGTGAAGCATTTTCTTCTGCCACATGCTGATCTGAAGTAGCTCCACCAACTTGCCGGTGACTAGCTTCTGGACCATTATCTGATGGCATGATTAAATTTTCGCCAGGATTTGTTACAGTACTTTCTCCCTTTGCTACTCCAGAAGACTTGGATGGATTTCTAACTCCATTCTTACTTGTGTAAGCATGTGCTGATCCACTGGGATGATTTTGGAGAGCTGACTGAGATATGACACGAACAGAAGGGGGAAGGTTTATAGGAGGCAAGCCAGGTGCCAACTTGACCACTCGTGCACCTTTACATTTACGTGTTGGGCAGGGTAATGACCCTAAATGACTTCCAGGTCTCCCGAAATTGGAAATGGAAGAAAGATGATTCAACTGTGAAGTGTAAGATGAAGTATATCTGGGGTCAGAACAGTGAGATAAAGGATGCATACTTTTCATGGGCTTTAAGGAATTGTTAATTTCATGCACTGCTCTGTCCTTCTGCACTTGAAAGCATTCTGAGCTGGAAGCAAACTTTTCAGTAGTGTTGGTACCATGATAGATAATCATGTTGGTAAACTGTACATTGCTCCTACCAATGCCTGAAAGAGAAATCTCATAGGATAAGTTATTGGAGCTCCCTGTTTCAGTGTCTGCAAGGAATGCTTCATGAACATAAGCTTCATTTTCATTGTCCATGTCCTCTCCACTATTATCCTCTTCATTATCAACCTGGAAAATCATGCAGCCAATGAATACAATGAAATAATACTCCAACAATTCAAATTTTCTTAATCTTATAAAGTAAGCTAAATTGACCTCCTTCTCAGATAATGGGTGCCCATCAACCATTGAAGCCTTCAGTCTTCTTCGTTTTGCTTCATATAATCTCCTCTTCTCCTTTATGGCTTCACTCTTTCTGTAAGATTTCTGTGTTCCAGTAGCAATTCGCCACTGCCGTGGTAGCAAGGAGGGATCTCTGTGTCGAACAAAATACTTCCAAACTGATAACCAGTCCTGTTTAAAAAGCTTGAGGCCCTGGTTTGACCAAGCAATTACAGTATCACAATACAGCATAATTGTGTCCTACTAATCATAATCAAACGGCTAGTATCGTCCAATGGTGTCACCTCATAGATCCGTGCCTTCTCATCTGCTGTCAATGGAGAAGTTTTCATCCGTCGCACAGCCTAGATAAAGTTGGCAAATGAAGCAGACTATAGAATTCCAATAACAACTATTTAACTGATACCTTCAATTTTATATTGCAGAAATATTTGATGACAATATTGTAAAAGATTAGATAACTCAAGATTCGAAAATAAATTTATACACTACTGACTGATATGAATCATTAGACTTCAGCAATGAAACTAAAGGTTTAACTTATGGTTTTGATATTAAAAAAAAGTAATGAATTATTTTTTGGCTCATAATTCATGGAAATTCAAGCAAAAGATTGAATACCAAGTCAGCCATTAGTTATGGCTATTATTGCTACCTTTCTATTTGACTCTATTCATTTCTGGGAAGTCGTTTGAATCCATGTCTTCAAAGTTCTGCCATTTTTTCCAGGGTTCCTACTGTAACTAAATCTTCTTTTGCAAATTAGGTATTGAGGAATACCTAAAGTTTCTTCTTTTGCAACTTTTCAGTTTGTTTTCCGGGTGTTGTATAATTTTCTAACACTGCACATTTTTTAGCTAGTTGTTATTAAGGCTTGGTGATATGATAACAAGAACAACATGAACATGCAATAGCTTTATAAATCCTATCGACAAACTAATGCAGCCTGTTCTCCCATAGTTTTTTATTTCATCGTAATCTGGCATATCCTATAGTGTTTTCTGTATTTAATTTTTCCTCTTTCATATTATTCCCTTTTTCTTTACTTTGATCAGTCCAAAAATCTTTCCTAGTCATTGTTATGTTCACTTAATGGAATTAAGCCATCTTGCTTCCACAAGTAAAAGAAAGAAATGAAAAGTAGAGAATGATTAACAACAAAACTCATCCAAGATGATAGGAAGCATGTAATGACTGATGCCTTCAAAACTGAATTCAACACAAAGTTCTTGTAGAACTTGTAAACAGTTGGTGACAAAACTCATTCAAGGCTCCAACATACAAAAGGAAGCAACAGTAAAAAATCAACCAAATGTTGGAAAAGCTTTGACAACAAAAGACAAAGCCAACATGTTTAGCAATTTAACCAATCAACACAAGAGTCTGGATGCCAATTTGTATAATTTTGTATACTGATATATAAAAAATTTCAAGTATTACATAGCAATTGAATAGCTTCCAGTAAAACATAGGTCTAGAGATTAAATAAATCAGGTAAGCTGGCTTAGGACAGATTGCCCTCCGTTCCCAGGTCACTGGTAAAGTAAGAATCCAATACCAGCAACTCATGCTTAGCCTATCTGAACCATGTTAATATATCTACAACAGCACCAACTTGGTCTACAACAAGGAGATGAAACAATAGGATGAAGAGAAGGAAGAAGTAAAGGTGGTGAAAAAGCAAACTATGATTTTTAGGACCAATTTTAAAAAATGATGCTTTTTCAACTATGTAGTTTCCTGACCACCCGACATGTTAATCAGCATAATATTACTAGCCCTATGATTTACTTGGTTTTATTTTTAATCCAAAGGGCATAACATACAGTATTTCCAAAAATTCCTCTCTATCCAGACTACTTTTTATAGGGAGGGGCCTACAGTTTTAAGACAGAACAATATTTTGGTCCTCCATATTTTACTCAATCTTTTAGTTTAATTGATTAAATTTTATGTTATTTCCAATCCTACCATCAATATGTAAACTCAAGTTAAAATCTTTAAACACATTATATTAGCTTGTCTTCCAACAAGTCAGTTGCACCAATTCAGATGACTATATCAGTTTTTGACCCAGCTATTACTTATTGATATTAGTGGAAGTAGCCATCATATAAACTAACATTAGGGAAGAAATAAAATCAAAAGTAAGAAAAGCACATAAAATAGATAGCTTTGTGTTACATGTGCTTACTGAAAGCTTTATAAAAGCATACCTTTATTGGATTTGCAGGTGCCTTGGAAGAGCTACGATTCTTTTGCCTAACAAATATCTACACCAACAACATACATAATATAATTTAGTGAACAATGTTTTGATGAGAAGGTCAAGGAAAATGTTATATTGGATTATCAAGATAGCCATTATGAACATTTTTTAAAGATATATGCAGGCACTAAAGCCACTGTCCAGTTTCAAAGGAAGGCGTGAAAACAATGTAAATCAGATATGCGACTTTGACCCTAGAACAAGGTGCAAAATAATAAATAAAACTGGATAAAAAACATTTGTCAAGAAAGTTCACAGCCAACAAACATGCACACTGGTGAGGCAGCATAATTTATAACCTGTTCAAAATAGCATCCTAAAATTGATAAGAGGTATTTGCTTGTGATTGCCAAGGAAGAACAACTTACATCTACAACCATCTTAAAACTTATTTTCACAAATAAGAAAAAGTTAAAATAAATGACCAAGATAATCCATAATTTTAAACATTGTTCTCTTTCGTATGTCCAAGTATGTCTCTACCCCCATGCTATTGGAAAATCCATTGCAAAACACTGGAGACAGGATATTGAGGATAGATGAGGATAGATGCAAATGTTAAATCAGAGGAATGCGAAAGGTTTAATTGCTTACTTCAGTTGTTAAGTTGAAAATTTTATTTTCAGCAGAACAGGAAGAAAAAGAAAAACAATACTTACAACATACTAACCTCAAAGTGAGAATTACGTCATGTTCAAAAGCAAAGACAGGAAGTCAATTAACAAATTCGAAATTTGGAACTTCATATTAGAATTTCTGACATTAAAAAAGCATCCTCATTTCACTCATATGATGGCTTGACTAAAGTTGTACATTTTCATATCAGATATAGAGCAGCAGTTATTTCCTGCAGAGATAGTAATATGAGAATTTCATAGATATATTTTATTTGCAAAAGATGTATATTAATTTATGGCATGATGTCAGGACTTCAAAGTAAATGAACTAGATGATTGGACAAAAATGTAGACTGATAGTTCACTTACTAAAATGCCAGTCTTGCATATTGTTTCACCATCCTTTTAAATAGGAATTATCTCGACGTTTGGATTGTATAAACTAAACAAACAAACAAGAATAATAGAAGTACCAGTTCTCCTAATCAAGCATAATAGCAGTACCAGTTAACCATTCATATTAAGAGCACTCGTCATACTCCTTATCACTTGTCAAAACATCATATTTCTTTCCAATCAATTGGCATGTTACTTTCTTCGAAAAATAACCTCCCTATGAGCGTTGATTATTTTTCTTGTCCTATAAATTAAGTGGACAAGAAAGATATACGGAGGATTACAAAGCAACCTAACGGAGTTTGAGTAGTACAAAAGATTTTTGTTAGAAAAGCATCTCCATTAAAAAACTGAAAGTAGAATATAAGTAACTGTGTGAATACCTATGTTCTATTATCATTGCAATACAAGGAATAGGAACAACCTGATGCTTCGTTTTACAAGGAAGAAAGTGCTTTTGTATGGCTCCCCAGTCATTGTTGTATTTCATCAGTCCCATTGCTAATAATCTGTATGAGATCTTAAAATTAGAACATGAATTACTAAAACCATATCGATTAAATGGAAGTGCTATTGTCAATATTATGCAGAAGTATACAACTAAAATCCTAGTGCCATTTCCTATATGCCTAATCTTATTGTTTTGAAATAATACAGCAATGGTTCCCATTTTGATATCTTAACCCTAAATCCTAGCCATAAAGGTTGAATACATGCCAAAGAACATATACCTGACACTCTGGAAGGAATGAACCTCATTAAAAGCATTAAGTGGTATAAAGATATATATGCCTTAATGGTCCTCTTACAAATTCACATTGCAATGCGCTCTTCCTTTTCCATGAATTGTCATGCAGCATGTCACTCAATTGTCAAGTTAGCATTCAAGAAAACACATAACATCAAATGATATATTCATATGTTCTCCTATTTTAAAATTTTAAAATAAAATATTCAATTAGCACAAACTTTATATATGTTCTCCAGAAAATATTTTTGTCTGATAATTGATTATATAATAGTTGTCACAAATTCAATCCCAAGTGTATGTACATATCTCTAAACAGCCCTCATTTTCATAAATTAAGGACTCAAATAGAGTACAAACATGACTAGGTTCTTAAGAGATTTTCATAAGAAATATTACTCAAATTCCTCTCAGTATGCTACTTGCTCTTGCATGCAACCTCTCTGCCTTGGTAAGAATAATGAAAGTAAAAGGGTTTAGAATATACAATTTTATGAAGTGAAATAATGTTACAATGCAGAACAACAATAAGGTCTCAAAGACATCAAATTCATTGATCGAACAAAATGTTAAAAAAATGCACCATTTTCAAAATTTTGTCAAAAGACATACAACGACATAGTTTAACAGACACCAAAATCTTGTTATTAATAAATATTAAGATGTAATAGCAAATCATAGTATACAACTCACTGAATCTTACACATTCAAATGACAATCAAATAGTTAGAGCAAGCAAGTAACCACATAATGGTCAAGCCATTTACATGGCATTTAAATATATAAAAACTTAGCATATTATTAAACTAAATGGATATCACAGAACTAGTAGATTTAAAAATATTTAAAACTTTAGCCAAACTTGAAAAAAGAACCTACACAGGTCATTATTGGTGTCTGTGCTGCTTAGTCCTTCTGTACATCAAAATAGGATTCACAATTTGTTTTATAAGTAAATAAAGGTACAAAATTATAAATCAACTGAAACATGGACTTGCTGCATTTTGTCTCGCTTCAAATTGATTGTATAGACCAAGGTTCACAATTTCGTACCATACCAGAGTAACGAGCTATGCTCGATACGGTACTGTATTAGTATACCGAGCGATATGCTTTGGAGTACCGCTCGTGTGTATATATATATATATATATATATATAAGGAAAAAATTGAGAAAAAAAAAGAGCGATGTTGTCGAGGTGACGTCGCCTCGTTTCTTCTCCCCGTGTGGGGAGAAGAAATCTCGTTTTCTTCTCCTCGCGAATCCTCGACAATGTCGCCGAGGCTTCTTCTTCCTGCGCGGATGAGGAGAAGTCGCCGACGACGCCGAGACCTCGTTGCCTTAGACGAGGAGGAGGTGACGTCTCATCGGTGGCGTCCGACGAGGGAGGGCGATGGCGGATCGAGATCGTCGAGGGAGAGCGACGTTAGATCTCCAAGTTCTTCCTTTTCTTCTCCCTCTTCTTCCTTCTCCCTCGGCTAATATCACCCCATAGCGGGCAACGACGGTTGAAATCGACCATCACCGACCGATTTTGCATGATAATGGGGCAGAAACAACCCCAATCGACGATACCGCCCGATAACGGGTGATCTGCGTACCGATCTGCTGGCGGACCGGGTGATATCATTCGAAATTAAAAACGTAGGTATAGACTATTCACCACATATGCTAAATGGGATCATTCTGAATAAGGATCTTTAAAAAATGGTTACACCAGATACCAAATTGTTAAAAATGTCTAATATTAGTTAGTTCTTTTAAATGAAAGAGTTGGAAAACTTAAACTATCTCCTCAAACTATTAACAAAAGAACAATTCCCAAAAAAGTATGATGTAAATGGCAAATAAACTAGAATAGGTAAGATGTTATCACTTATATAACACCTCGATTAGTTCTACGTCGGAAGTTGGCTAAGACTGACTTATAAGGATCTGATCGGTATACTACCATTAACCTTCACTTAAGCATTTTGAGCCAATGGTTTATGCTCAATGAAGTTAACATATCAGTTATCCCATTATACTGGTCATGACAATTGATATCAAAGCCGACCTACTACTGGGGCATGGTGTGGGGCTTGAGTAGTAAGCATCTACCTATGGATGGGATCAGAGAATACGTCATGGCATGGATCCACCACTATGCTATAGCTCACATGCACTGTGTTAGAATTTGATCTGAGATACGCTGGGCCATGATGAGGATGTAAGAGATTGCAATCTGAAGTGGTCTAAGACTAAAATTGATTTATAAGAGCTTGACAAGTGTACTAATATTAACTTCGACTAACATTTTAAGCCAATGGTTTGGGCTCAACAAAGTTAACATGCCAATTATCCCATCAGACTGGATCATGACAATGCCCCTCTGTCTTCCGACGAAACCCCCAAACTCCTTGATCTCCCCTCCACCATCAACAAAGAAAAGAAGAGTGATGAATCCTGAACAAGTAATGACACCATGTACGTGGTGTCAGTTCCACCTGATTCTCATGTAATCATCCTCACCCCTAATAACTTATCACAAATATTATAATTTTATCCATCAGCCTAAAAGGCCATCAACACATAATTTTATCCTACTGAACACAGAAACTGGTTACAGATTTATAATTTTCTGCAGAATCACTTTCTTTAAACTGTGATCAATCCATTAACATGAACCAGTCAATATTGCATGGACTAGCACATATAATATGAAGACATGCACCACCATACCCGGTCCCCCTCAAATGGCACAGTTTGTACCATGTGTAACAAAAAAATTTGTCATAATACAGATAATAATTAAAATCAACAATCTGAACATGGATAAGCAACAAATTTCAACACAGTGCTATCAGATAATAAGTTCATAAAGTGCAGGTAAAAGGGTTACACCGCTTGTTATAAATAAGAATAGCACCTTATAAAGTTGCTTGTAAATAGTTGATAATTTTTCAAGAACCAATGAAAAGATGTTGTATCATTAATGAATGTCATCAACAGAGAGAGAGACTGACAGATAGACAGAGAGAGAGAGAGAGAGATGGGGGAGGAGGGAGGCGACTCACTCATCTTCTGCATCAGTGAAGAGCACACGATTAGCAACAGCCGGTACCGGAGGTTTGTGAGGGAATAATGCTAAATTAAATAGAGGATAAAACCTCTTTGCTAGCTTGGCAATTTCCATTGGCACAAGAGCAACAGTTTGCTTCTTGGTATTTTCCACTAGTGTAGCAGCCAGTGACTTTTTGGGTGGTAATTGACCAGGCGGAGGTGGCAATGCTGTTTTTGAGGGAATGCCATTCGGCTCACCATACAAAATTTGATCTGTTCCCATCTGAGATGTGAGCATAGGAAACGGAAAAAGAGGTTCCCTTTTCAAGTGACTCTTGTCAACTGGATCATCCAAGTGACTTTGTCTATACCTTAAAACCGCTGCAGTGAGCAAGGTACCAAGTTAAAGCATCAAAAGAAACAAAAAGATGAAACCAAGACATGATTGGGAGTATTTCAGTCACGTACTAGCCGAAACATCTGCCATATAACTCTTAGCCAACTGAAGTGGCACAACATCAAGGATGGAAAATATGGGGCCATCTATTGAAGGTGTCCAATGAGAAAATTCAGAACTCTCACTAGAATCAATCTGCAATGATGCATGGATATTTGGAGCCTGAAAACAGGACATGTCATAAGGAGCTTTTCTCCTGGCCAACCCTTCTTCATGTCTAGCAACCATCTCCATGATCAACTCTTGAACTTCCATAGCAACTTGCTGTCGGGATGAATCAAGAACACTAACAGAAAAGACCTGTATAAGGAGTTGAACATGTTCATGTATCAGACAGTACAGCTGGCCTAACTGCTGATACGTAAAACCATGGGTTAAATCAGCCCCAGAGAAAGCAAATGGGCAATGAGAAAAGCTTTCAGGAGAATGAAATCGCAATCCAAGAGCAGGAACAGGAGCTATTTGAGCATTTGAGACATAAGGCAGTATAGGACGCAGTGGCATCTTGTCAAGCCCCAAAAAACATTTCTTCTTTTCAGCAGACTCCCTTAGGCGTTTCTTTTGTCTAGTTTCTGGTCTATGAACATCTTCCTCATTTTTATCACTTCGCCTCTTGTCATCATCAAAACTTTCATCAATGTCACTTTCTAATGCTTCCTCAATTTCAATTGCAAAGTCAGCATCATTTTCCTCATCTTCATCCAAAATTTCGTCATCTTGTCCTGCCTGTCCATTACCATCTCCTCCCAGCAACACAGCAGCAAGAAACTTGCGATACTCTTCTTCATCATCAACATTTTGCAAGTCATCATCATCATCAGATTCCTGAAGAAAAGCTTCCAACTCTTCGAGGGTATAATTTGCAAGAGAATGGCGAGCTCTGGTCCGCTTGCAGATTGCATCCTCATCATCTATCTCGACAGCTTGCTCCCTTAAACATATTGAGTATGAAGAGCTTGTAGCCTGGCCAGGCAACTCTTCTTTGGTAAGCTCTTCAGCAGCTTCGCTTTCATCCCCAGATGCAGCTTTTTTATAGCTTCCTTCAGGATGAGCTGATTCCTCTTCCTGCCAATTGAACCTATTTAGTCCTTCCACCTCAGGCTTTTCTAGAACAACATCCTTTCCAGTAACATCTTCAGCTGTCAGTCTATTTTGCATAACAATCTCCTCATCTTCAGTTCCTGAATCTAGATTGCGGCAAGTAATCACAGATTTTCTCGGTGACACACCATCACCTTGGTGCTTTAATGAGCTCGAAAAAACTTCACCAATATCATCGCCAGTAGCTTCATTGTCCGAACTCAAGCCAGATGAGGCTTCTGACAGGGATTCCCCTCTCCAGGTGGGATTGAAGTCCACATCATCATCATCCTCATCATCTTCAACTTCCATATTCACTTTGTTGGTCATGGACAAGATGTCAAGGGAAATGGGAATATTTCAATGCTTCCAATGCTTAAGTTTCACATGCTGGGTAGCAATGGACATGACATCTGGAAAAAAGAGAAGATTTTAGCCAAAGAAGTTAAAGAAATAAAGCAGTGGGTGGAGGATGATGCTGAAACCCTAAAATTTTTGAACTTGCAGGAGAATATCATTGTCTTCGGAATCCGCTAGGTCCAACACAGAAACCACAGTTTCTAGGGATTGACTGATCACATAAGAGAAATATGAAGAAAAAGGATTTATAAAAACAAAGGGAGAAGCTGAAAAACAACAAGAGGAGGGTAAGAGGATGAGGAAACAAAATCGCATTGAAGGACCACAGCGTCTATACCAAATGCCTCCGACAATCTCTTCTAAGTTCTTCCGCCGACTCAATTATCTCGTCGCTCGTGTAGGAAGCGTGAAAGAGTGGAAACGAAGCAAAAGAGCAAACATGTACATAGAAAGTGGTTTCTCAAGCGAAAGAAAAGAGGAAAAGGAATGTTGACCAAGAATGGGGGCCAAAAATCGAAGATTGAATTTGATCACCTATAGTTCGGAATAGAGGCAAAAGCAAGTTAATCGCTCGACAAGTTTCGCATGTTTTATCTCTAAAGGAGAGATCCAAAACCAAAGGAAGAATTCAAAGAAAAATATTAAAGAAAGATTTTTATACTACCACGGACAAAATTGTAAATAAGGTGTTTGATGTAATGCTCATGTATGTTCGTGTCTTTCAATTTTGTTCAAGTTTTGCATAGCATGTAAGGGGCTGACAGTAGGCTTAACAGCCTCATTTTGGTTGGCTTTGGTGGCCGCTTTAGGCCTATACATGAAGGTTGTGTCATAAAGACACTTGTGGGCATTTCAATCTATAGTGGATCATTTTGGACCTTTTGTTATGCGACCGTTCAGAACTTGTTAAATTTATGTTTATAATTTGCATTGGATATGAAGTATTTGTTGAAATGGTTGCTTGTGGATCCCGAGTGAAACACTTTCTATAACCCGTTTTCTCTTTTATAGGTCCTAAGGGACCATAGGAGGTTTCGAGGAGGCTGATATTTACGGGCAAACACGCAAGGGTGCTGCATGACTTAGGCAAAACCAGCTAAGTTCGTGACATATGGTATCTGAGCAGGACAAGCACACATACAAACACTTGACATACAAACGTGGGGGACATAGTAGGGCTACGTTGAGGGCAACTAGCACACACGACCATTTGGGGGAAACGAGCATGGAGATGTGGGGAAAGGAGTCACTCAGAAGAGCGAGCGTTTGAGATTGACTTTAAGAGGAATGACTAACCCTTCGTGTGAGAGGCACCACGAGGACAAGCAAGTTGGGAAGAATGTGCAGCGCACACAGGTTGGGATGGCCGAGTTCGAGCTACGATTCAACGTTGGCAACCATACTTGACGATGCTCAAAGCAAGTGGGGGACTTGGTAAAAGATGAGACCGTACAAAGTGGGATAGGTTGCTTAGTGGTCGAAAAAATTGTGTAAAACTCACAAAGGTGAGGGGAATTGCTAACTCGAAGAATTCAGTACTCATGTAAGAGCTTGTATGTGGATGATAGAATGTTTGTGGCCATCCCAAAGCGACCGAAACTCGATGCCATGGAGCATTAAAGCTTTCTCTTCGACATGGGAAGGACACGTCTGTAGAACGTTAAAGTGTGCAGTGAGTTCAGCATGCTGCTAAGCCTTAGGGGGTGTAGTGGGGGCTATATTGGTGAGGAGTCGTAATCTAGCAAGTGTGTTTGCGGGGGCAAAACAATGCACAGTTTGTTTAGCAAGGCGGAGTAGTCTAAGGGAATGGTGGTCTTCAAAACTTTCATAAGGAAGGATGCGAAGAGAGAAGCTCCAACGGGACATATATCTATGAGGGATAAGTCTCGATTCTCCAAAGGGAGAATCATGTGCAACAGAACGCACATGTTGAGAAGGAGTATATCAAGATAACAACTCCACAAAACTCAACGGACCGAGCGAGCGACGAGGAGTCATCACATGATCCCGCATGAGGTAATATATTGGTGGATGTATTGTGAGATTAAGTGGGGGAGTGACCCAAGGCAACACTAAATGAAGACACACTTAGAGCCGATATGAAGAGCAGACTTAACGAAGGGTTGACCCGTGGAATGGTGCGTGCGAGGACCACCATCAACTCAATGCAAACCAAGGAGCAGAGCAACTTGGATGCAACTTGGTGAAGTACGTAAACCGGAATGAAGGGAGTCAGCATAGAAGATAGAACATGGAACGAAGGCACGAAACTTTCTTTGGACAGAGGTCAAGGATATGAACTCTTGTAGAAGCAAGAGCGGGATTATGTTATTCCATACGTCCCTCATTCTGATGGAGCAGACTCATCTTGCACGATGCCAAAGACGAAGGGAGCTTCGACATGCACCTTATCTCGGAGAAGCATTTGACGGAGGAACCAATGCGACTCAACTTACGAAGGCGAAGTTGTATTCGGAAGGCCTTGGCACGAGGCAAGAGGACGCGGAGGCGAGTACTCTTGAAAAAGATGCCATAGTGCTGCCATTCATGTTGCCATGAAGGAATCGGTACGCAGCAAAGATTGTGCTGATAGAGACGAAGATCGATTGCTAAAGGAGCGAATACAATTGAGGGTGGAAAAGACCCTGCGGTGTGCTGGCAGAGGCCACACATGGAGGGATGACAATCTGAGTTTATCCCACAATGATCAGAATGCAATGAAGATATCACTAGGAGGCGACATAGTGCAACAGATCGTGGTGAAACAGTTCGTGGTAATGCGATACACACAAATCTTGTCCCGCGAGGGACTAGATCATACGGAGGTATGATCGGGAGTTACAAGGAGCTCTACTTCGATGAATAACATGAAAACAAAAAGGGCTATAGTGATATCTTCCATGCGTACACCATGAATAACATGAAAACAAAAGGAGCTCTACCATGGCATTCGAGGAGTGAATGCTATGGTACCATAGAGGTGGGTCTTCCATACGTACACCGAATTTTACATCGGATGAAAGCCTTGATTATCAACATATGGGGGCTGTGTACTAACGAGGGAGAATTTCGAATGTATGTAGCAGAGAGTCCCACGAGGGTATTGATTATATGGAAGTATGATTGAAATAGTTAGAGTTGGAGTACTCTAGAGCTCATATTCGTTTAAGGGAGTTCGACAAATCAGAGGACAAGGCCAAGTAAGTGAACGATGTCACCAAGGAAGCTAATGAGAACAAAATCGACGGGAGCCCTGCAACATAATGACGGAGGTCATGAATGAAAGTTGTAGTCTGTCTTTCCATCGACCAAGGGAAACTGCTCGGAGAACACAGAGGTATTAAAGCAGGTGGTCGAAAGGGGTGAGGAAGCAACGACGAGTCCAGAGGGACTTAGCTACCCAAAACTAAGTATCGGTTATAACGGAGGTAGACTCAAAGGAGTGCTATAGGGCCGCATAGGTGGATCTACCGATTGTGAAGAAAGAGACAGATATGAGGTGATGGATAGTAGGGCATGAGAATGGCAGCACCACGATACCACAGAGGCAGGACTTCCGTGGAGTCATCGATCCCTTGATCTCATGGAGGGAGAGCGCTTGATAATGAAAGAAGTTGAGGAGGTGGAGAATGCAGAGGTAAACTCCAAGTACTGAGACAAGGCTAAAGGGCGAAGGCCAGAAAACTTTGTAAGACCGATGTTAACGAGCTTCTCATTAAGATAGCCGAAAACTTCAGGTCGTTGCAAGAGTGCTCAACCAAGGAATAAAATAAGGAGTACGTGGTGTTGTAGCTTTGCTATTTAGAGGAGTAGACAACATAGATGATAGAGAAGACGATGCAATCCCAAAGGCGACTAAAACTATTAGAGATTTGCTCCAAGTTTGTGTGAAAACTTTTTGCATTCCAGAAGTTCGATAACATTGAGAAGGTAAATCACAGTAGCTAACTCAACGCAAGGAATGCAAACACTTCATGTGCTTCAGAAGTGTGAGCAAAGAGCGGGAGAAAGTAATAACCAGCTCGATGTATGAAGTACAACCCTCGCGAAGGTGAGCGAACTTAAGGAACCTTTGCTTTCTCAACTTTTAAGAGAATGGATAAAACCGAGTACCCAAATTCTCTTCTCTATCTAGCAGAGGAGCTCTGTACAAATTCAAAGATCCTTTGAAGAAACATAATGGAAGACAATAGTTGTCAAATCCTCACCAATGATGATCAGTGCTACTAAGAATAGATTGTTTGCTTCATTTCCTAACAAAATGCCAATTAAAAGTGGAAGTGATGCGAACTTCGAAGTCTATGAGACGATTCTCATTAAAGCTCCAACAAACATCCACCCAGTTCAAGCGGCATGAGGTATTTGAGAGATTAATCATACTAAGGATAGTCTTTTCCTTTATCTGAGGGATCCGCAAGGACCAACAGGGATCAACACAACTTAGCCGACCTGACACCAGAGTCAGTCATTGGCGAGTTGATGCAGAATGGCGGATCAAAGTTCGACTACTCAATAACAGTGGCGGAGTATAGCTGAGAGCCAAGAGACGCATTGCAGCTAGAGCAGAAGATTTAAGACTCCGTAAAGGCAGATGCAACTTCTACAAAGGCTTCGACGAAGACGTCAAAGAAATAAATGGGGGAGAATGTCACGGACAAAATTATAAATAGGGTGTTTGATATAATGCTCATGTATGTCCGTGTCTTTCAGTTTTGTTCATGTTTTGCACAGTATGTAGGGGGCTAACAGTAAGCTTAACAGCCCATTTTGGTTGGTTTTGGTGGCCGTTTTAGGCTTGTATATGTAGGTTGTGTCATAAAGACACTTGTGAGCATTTCGAGGACCATTTTGAACCTTTGTTGTGCGACTTCAGAGCTTGTTAAGTCTATGTTTGTAATTTATATTGGATATAAAGTGTTTGCTGAAATAATAGCTTGTGGATCCCGAGTAAAACGCTTTCTCTAACCCGTTTTCTCTTTTGTAGGTCCTAATGGACAATAATAAGTTTAGGGGAGGCTGACGTTTGTGGACGGACACGCAAGGGTGCCACACGACTTAGGCAAAACCAACTATGTTCTTGACAATATGTACATTAAGATGGAATAATAACAACAACAATAGAATGGTGGGCAAAAGACTCACTGAGAGAGACAACAAGCCAAGACCACCAAGGCTTCGACTAAGACGACCAAAATTAGGGTTTCGAAATAATAATATATCCTGTCTCTTCTCGGGAATAGAAGAGAAGGAGGCGAGGGAATCAGCCGGAGGAAAAGGATCAAGTTCTTGAATTCTTCGCCTCCGAGGTAGAAGAGAGGAGAGAAGTGGTGATGAGGGTAGGAGGCAGATGGGTTACCTTCTTTCTAATCGATAGCCATCATTTTACTCGTGCTAATTGGCACATGAGTGGCACACCGATGAGTCCGACCATGGAGTAACCCGTGAATGGATCGGATCCAACCCGATCTGGTCCAATATCAGCTAGATACAGGTCAAGTATGGTGTACTAATCGGAATAAGAATCGGTCCTATTAGAACGATCTAAACCGGATCGAGATCGGTCAAATTTGTTATGATCCAACTACGACGTGAACCGACACGTAATAAATAAATTACCACAGGGTTTTAAAATAAAAGAACAATATTTTCGTAGTTTATAAATATATAATGTATTCATTATATATAATGATTGATTGACATGTCAGTGTGAGATATAATGTAGAACTTCCAGTTTAGTAGAGAAGAAGTTCCATTCTCTCACACTGACATGCTTACAATTACGACTGACTTAATCCTGTGCTAATTTTTTACATCCTCGTCTTGCCAACCTCCCCATGTTGGCATATAAATATCACCACACACACGAGCTCTCACAGTTGCACTACTCTCTCATGCACCAATAATTAACATCTAATCCATTTTCTTGGTTTCTTAGACAATAATAA